GGAGGGTTGGACACTGGGAAGAGGTAACTATGGGGAGGAAGTGGGAGGGGAGCTGTTGCATTGTGGTAAACTGTGGTCAATGATATTAGACAAAGTATATATGAACTGTTGTATGGAAAGTGAATTTGCTCTGTAAATCTTCACGCAAATCACAATTAAAAAATAAAAAGATACAGATAAAAGGTGGTTTAAGTGGAGAGATGTGTCTGTCTAGTAACTTTGAGTACCATAATTTTGAAATTCATCTAAGTCTTATTATTCAGACTAAGACCCTAATTTTCTTGAATAAATACTAAGTTATGAGTTGAGAGAATGCAGATGTTGCATGATAACAAAAACAACACAGCTACTGAAAACAACCAACCAAAAAAAACCCCACTTCATCATTAGTTAACACAGTGGAACTTGTTCACTAGTTGTAAATCACAGCAATGAGGACAAGAACTTTTTCAATTTCACTGTTCACTATTCATAATTTCACTGTTCACTATAAAATTAATTTTCTTTCACACTCAGTTTATGTGCCTGGACTGACCTTCTGGAACTCTTCCATACAGGCCAGCCGTTCCTTCCAGTTACTACTGTCTAGAAGCTGTATACAGGTAGGGGGAAGGACAGCTGAAGCTTTTTCTTCACATAGTTCTATCTGTAAGATACAAAAACATATTAAAATTAGGAATCGCTTAAGGAAACAGACCGTAAGAAAGTAAAAATACCCCAGTCGAATCTAAAACAACACCTCATAGGTGTGCTACAGTACGTGAGCCTTCTATCATATAGCCTTAGGGTTGCTGTGAGTTGGAACTGAGTCAGCAACAACGGGTTTGGTCTGGTTAAAGGGGAAGTTTGTTCAAGGCACAGTTTCAGTAACTTAAAAGACATTAACTATATGTTGTAGAATCCAGCAAAGAAAGACCTCAAATCTTGTCATAGGTCTTCACTTTCCATAGTTTTACAAGTTTGAGACGGTGTACGGTACTGACCGACAGCTCAGGCTCCACTATTTCTTTGGTGTCCAATCCTTTCTTGTTCTTTGTTCCAGTGCTACCTGAACCCCCTGGTGCAGCTGGCTTCCCCTTCTTAGGTGGTCCACCAGCCTAAAAATGATTAACATAAATTAATTAAGCCATTTAACACTTTTTTAGTTACAGACTCTCTTGAAAATTTGATCAAAATGAGGGTCCAAATTATAAAATTTGATAAAATTTTACCATCACATAAAATGATTTTATATATTAAAAACAAAGCATTTTTATTTTGCTGACAGAATTTAGAAGTTTCAGGGCAGAAAGACCCACCTGAGCACCATCCATGGTGAAATCTGCAGAACTTATATTAAGAGCCTCTGATTCAGAACGAGCTAATGAGAGAAATGACTGACTCATGTGTCGCTGAGGAATTAACTTTACTCAAATCAAGGTCTAGCTCTTGCCCTTGGCTACTAGAAGTGCTATCTAGGCTCCTGGAGTGTCCTGCCTGATAGGAATATCTACATCTGGGGGCTCTGGCTTCCAGACAGTCTAACAATATGATTTATGACAGGGGCTTTGAGCCAGGCCACATCATCTCTGACCTCTGGAGGAACAGGAGACTAAAGGTCAGCCACAAAGGGAGTATGTGAGCCCCAATAAAGACTCTGGATTCCAAAGCTCAGGTAAGTTTACCTATAGGCAATACTCTGAGCACTGTCACACATCATTCTCAGGAGGACGTAACACTGTTGGGGATTCCATGAGTAAAGCACAACCCATGGTGGTCTTGTGGGTAAGGTTCCTTTTGACTTTGCAGTTTGGCCTAACTTCTGGAAAACTAGAATTACACATTCACAAACTAATTTGACAACAGGGACCCTTGCCTTTAAATGTCTCTAAATCTTTCCCACATTAGTAAAGACTAGTTTCTATGTTATGTAGTATTTAACATAAGGTGCCCCAATAACATTGGAATATATCATTATTCATTGCAGAGCTGGCAAAGAAAAATGGGACTGTCATAACAATCTCAGTGATTGTTCTAGTTATGCTGAAGATGGTCATCGCATTGAATCTTTTCATTGTTTTAGTCGTTTTTCAGGTGACTTTCTTGGGTTTTACAAATAATAATTTTACCTCTTCTTCCCTAATATTAACATCTCTTACTTTATTCTTTAGTCTAATTACAGAACATTGTTTATTTACTTTTTATTGTGATTGCATGAAAGCTTACAGAACAAAATCATTTTCCGTTTTATAGTTCATACACATTTGTTTCGTGACATTGATTGAAATCTCCACAATGTAACAGCTCTCTTCCCAGTTCCTCCCTATGGTTACCTTTCCCTGTGCCCCTCTTTCCTGTCTATTCCTGCCCTCTAAGCCTTCTCCTGTGCAAATGCTGCCCTTCTAATCTCCCATGGAAATTAAACTAAATTAAATTAAACTAAATTAAATTAAACCTTTTTTTTTGTTTGTGTGTTTGGTTGTGGTTAAGAAGTTATCTTTGTACCCTGAGCTCTAATGTGTATTATATATAGAGAGAGAGAGAGAGAGAGAGAGAGAGAGAGAGAGAGAGACAGAGAGACAGACACGGGGAGAGGGAAGCGTGAGAGAGATTTTTTTTTTTAACTGTGATTGGGTGAAAGTTTAGAGCAAATTCACTTCCCATACAGCGGTTCACATATACTTTGTCTCATGACATTGACTACAATTTACTCCAATGCAACAAATCCCCTCCCACTTCCTCCCCATAGTTACCTCTTCCCTATGTCTGTCCCTCCATGCACTCCTGCCCCCTGAGCCGTCCCCCTGTGCATAAACAGCCCTTCTACTCTCCCATGATTGATTTCTCCAAGGAGTTTATCTACCTAATGTAAATGTTCACCTCACACGCCTGTCTTTTGTTTGGCTGGAAGCCACAGGTGTGGGGGGTTCAATTCCAGACCTGAAGGGCAGCTAGGGGCCATAGTCTCAGTGGTTCCACCAGGCTCTATCAGACCAGCAAACCTGGTTCCCCCACCCCTTTTTTGTTTTCAAATGATTCTGAGTTTTGTTCCACATTGTTCTCCCTCCCTATCCAGGATTTCCTAAATAGATCCCCCTCTGAGTAGCTGATAGTGGTAGGTGGGTACCATCTAGTTCTTTTGTTCTCATAGTCATATAGGCTGTGGATTGCATGGTGTACCAGATATAAAACATTTTTAAACCATAATGATAACAGCAAGCATTATTTTGTTTTATTTTTCACTTTAATGGGAATGCTTCTAGGGTTCCACCAATAAACATGATACTGGCTTTTGGTCAGCTACATTTATCACTAAATGCAGATCTACCAACATATATTTAATTATGCCAAAGTATCCATCTACGCCTATGTAGTCAAAAATTTTTATCAAGAAGATATGTTGAAATTTATTCTATTCTTTTTCAATGACTGAAATTATGTATTTTTTAAAAAATCTATTATAATGTTAATATTGACCCATTCTTATAATCTTAGAATAAACTTCATTGGTCCTGGTCATACTTTTTAAATTATACCACTTGGATTCTATTTGCTAATATTCTATTTAAAAGTCTTAATCTAAATTCATTATTCTCTAGTTTCGAAAGGTCATAAGAAAATAGCAGTATGTTACAAGGTTCACAGCCAATAGTAGTAACAATATGAGGACAACACACTGTTGCCATGCTCACATTATTCCTTCTACCTATTTTAGGTATTTGTTAAGAAATGCCTTAAACTTAGAAAGAACGATGTTGTTGTTGTTAGGTGCTGTCAAGTCATTTGATTCATAACGACCCTATGAATGGCAGAATGAAACACCGCCTGGTCCTGAGCCAGCTCCATGATTCTTGCTATACTTGAGCCTATCACCACCGCTGCCACCATGTCAATCCATCTTGTTGAGGGCCTTCCCCTCTTTTGTCAACCCTCCACCTTACCAAGCATGATATTCTTCTCCACAAAATGGTCCCTTCTGACAACATGACCAAAGTAGGTGAGACGAAGTCTGGCCATTCTCACCTCCAAGGTGCATTCTGGCTGCACTTCCTCCAGGACAGACCTGTTAAGTTCTTTTAGCAGTCCATGGTACTTTCAGCTTTCTTTGCCAACACCACAGCTCAAAACCATCAATTCTTCTTTGGTCTTCTTTATTCGTTGTCCAGGTCTCACATGCATATGAGGCAATTTAAAATACCATGGTTTGTGTCAGGTGCACCTTAGTCCTTAAGGAGATATCCTTGCTCTTCAGCACTTGAAAGAGGTCCTTTGCAGCCGATGTCCCCAGTGCTATATGTCGTCTGATGTCCTGAATGCTGCTTCCAAAGACCCAGTCTTTGACAATTTCAATATTTTCTCCATACTGCAGACTGTATTCTTCAATCTTCATCAGTAAGTACTTCAAGTCATCTTCACTTTCAGCAAGCAAAGTTGTATCATCAGTGTATCGCAAGTTGTTAATGATTCTTCTTCATATAGTCCAGCTTCTCGGATTATTTGCTCAGCATACAGATTGAATAGATATGGTGAAAGAATATAATCCTGACACACTCCGTTCTTGATTTTAAACCATGCAGCGTCCCCTTGTTCTGTTCGAACGACAGCCTCCTGGTCTATGTACAGGATCCTCATGACTACAATTAAATGTTATGGAATTCCCATTCATCACGATGTTATCCACAATTTGTTATGGTCCACACAATCAAATCCTTTTACATAGTCAATAAAACACAAGTAAACATCTTTCTGGTATTCTTTGCTTTGAGTCAAGACCCATCTGATGTCAGCAATGATATACCTCGTTCCACGTCCTCTTCTGAATCCAGCTTGCACTTCTGGAAGTTCTCTGTCAATATACTGCTGCAACCGTTTTTGTATTATCTTCAGTAAGATTTTACTTGCATTATATTAATGATATTGTTTGATAACTCCCACATTCTGTGGGGTCACCTTTCTTTGGCATGGGTACAAATATAGATCTCTTCCATTCAGTTGACCAGGTAGCTGTCTTCCAAATCTCTTGGCATAACTGATTGAGTGCCTGCAGCAGCAGGCAATAGAATGAGAGAGGACCAAATCAGCCTTCAACATCCAGGCTAGTATGCAAGCAGTGTTATCTTGAATATTCTAAGAATTTATGGTACAGTTAGCAAAACTAAGATGCTCATTTAACCAGCATTCTAATCACATGGCAACTTTTAATACTTGCTACTTCATTCAGCAGTACAATTCTGTTGGCTCAAAATGTAAATACCATAAAGGGATATTATTGTTTTCTAACTCTAAAAATAGAAAATTTTATATTCTTAGATCAACTAGAATACTGCTTCTGCAGTCTCCCCTGTAATCACATTCTCTGTATAGAGAAAGAGCTCAATTAACAAATCTCCTACTTATCTGTTTAAAATGGGAACAGAAGAAGGTTACCTTTTCTTTAAAAAAAAAAAAAAAAAACTTCATGAGATTGCCAGCTAGTCTGGGCATGGAAGGATTCAAATAGAAGAGGAAACTCAGAGGGGGCTGTATTAAGAAAATCTGGATAGAGCTTAAGGTATCAAGGCAGGTCACTGTCCAGAGAAACAGGAGCTGGTGAGAAAGGAGAAAAAGTTGCCAACTCCCTATACTCTCTATGCTGGGGAGACAGCATAATTATCACCAAAAGCATACAAGCTCTGGAACTACAGGTACCTGAGTTCAAATCCCAGATCTGTCACTCCATTAATTCAGATATATGCTGAGCTCCTATTATATGCCAGAAACTGCTCTAAGCAAGTTTATAATACAGTGAGGAAATAGAGTAAACAAATAATTAAATGTAGAGTTAATTGTAAGAGTATGTATAGGCCACTTAATCTCACTGATCCTCCGTTTCCTTTTTTGGAAAAACAGGAATCAAAAAACATCTACCTCAAAGGTTGTTATGATGATTAAATAAAATCACACAGGTGAAGTGCTTCACAAAGTGATGCCCACTCAACTTCAGTCCCCTTCCCTCAATTCCATGCTCAGATTCAGGGAAGGGGTGGCAGTAAGGAAAAGGAATCATACTTTTTACATCTATAGCAGATATTTTTCACCCTTAAGAGAATCCACAGTACTCAAAGTTGATTATTTGTCTTTGGACATTTCTCCCTTTTCTACACTATAAAAAGGTGACAAGACCTAGACTGGTGTGCAGACTCAATGGTGTGATGTAGTTAGCAAAATTGACCAAGATGATGTTACTAATGTTAACAGCCTTGCCATATTTCACTACTTAATGATATTTTATGATTCCCTAAAATGCACTCCTATATCTTCAGTACCATTTTTCTATTAAAGTTTTAAATAGCCCAATATATTGTTGGCACACTCTGTATGCATTAACAGATGTCCTGCTGTACTTTGAACCTGGTGCATGAATTCACTTCTCAAAGAAGTCACATGGGGAGGACTGCATGAACCTGAGTTCAGACCCTACTCTACTAAATTTTAATTTTTATATTATAACTTCTACACCATCTATTAACCTTAGCAGCAGGTGCCTTTTTTAAGGGTCCTGGTTTGGGTGCTGAAATGTCCTTCACGTCCTTATCTCCTGCCGCTCCTGAAGCAGCAGTCCTTCCAGGCACAGGTTTGAACTCCTTCTTATCAGCTGCCAGTCCAGCTTTCTTACCATGTACCAGTTCTACTTTCTCTGAACATTCTTTGATCTGGAGAATGAAATTGAGATGAACATCATTAAGTTCAATCTTGAAATACAACCATTACATTATTATTGCTATATTTTTACTACATTATTATTTAATGTCATTTCTGAACCACAACTACATGAGCATTCAGAGAGAAGAGTTTCCTTCTCAAAAAGATAAATTGTCCAGACTTTCTTGATAGTAGATATACATTAATATCTTATATTTTATTTCTAGAACAGAATTATGATCAATTTATAATGACCATATTTATGACAAAGACCCTCACATTTACAAAGTTAATTTTCCAGATATTAGAAACAAATTTGTCTCAAAATACTGTTTTTACCTCCTCTACAGAGTAGTTACTCAGCTTTTCTTTGGTATAATTTGGAATATATTTCTACTGATAATACCACTATAGCTTGGGATGAAATCTAAATCCTCAAAAACTATGCTTTCAAATTCCAGGTCTCAACCACAAATGGAGAATGAAAAAAAATTTTTATGAGTCAATACCAGCATTTTTACTTCATAAAACAGAATAAAGTTGAAAACACAAAGTACGAGAGTACTCCTGCAACACTTATTACAGTTGTGCACGCATGTGTGTGTGATGTAAAATGTATTTCCTATTGTGGGTGGGTTGTAATAAAAAACTGAGAAATACTAAGTCATTTTCAAGAGATAAAATCAAAATGCAGAGACAGGACAATGGCCCAATTTCATTAAACTCCGTTATTAACCTACCTTATCAAGCTTGAGCTTGTCCACATCAGCTAAGAATGGGTTTACTGCTTTCTCACCAACTACTTTCAAAGCAGTACCCAATGCTTCAAATGCAGCATCTCTGACTTCAAGAGCAGAATCATTGATGTGCTATAGTCCAGAAGTAAACAAAAATGATCTTAATACAAAGTATTTGAGGTATTACTGAGTTTTACTCAAATTGGTGGAAGCTGGTTAAAGAATTTGCTTTATACAACTCACTGAAGTTAAGTTAGTTTTCCTTTTGCCAATTAACACAGTTACTGTCACAAACACTCTTTAGGTTAAGGAAAGCTCTGGCAATCCATTCAGCAAATACATGCTTTCTTTCCCTCCTTTACCACTGCCATTTAGTCCATTCTGGCTCATAGCGCCTCCCACTTTGGGTTTCTGAGGCTGTAAATCTTTACGGAAGTAGATTGCCCAAATGTCCTTCCATGGAGTGGTTGGTGGGTTTGAAGGTTTGAATCGCCAACCTTCTGGTCAGCAATCAAATGCCTTAGGCACTGTGCCACCAGAGCTATGATCTTGGTGGCGTAGTGCCTGAGGCATTTGAGTGCTGACCAGAAGGTTGGCAGTTCATATCTACCAGCCACTCCATGGAAGGGAAGACTGCAATCTACTTCTGTAAAGATTTACCACCTAGGAAACCCAGTGGGAGATGCTATGAGTTGGAATGAATTTGATGGCAGTGAGTTTGGTTTGTTTTTCCCTTCCTTTATCTAAAATGCTTCAGTCTCAAATGAACTTCAAACTTTCCCCATTTGATGCCTGCGCTTGACCAGATCCTGCTGAATCCTAGTATAAGAGCCAAGTAAGGAACAAAATTATTAGCAGTTAGTTAAATCACAAAGCTAAGTTGTGCTTTTCTTCAAACCTGTAGAGGTCAAAAGACCATACATAATCTAGTCTGGAAGTCAGGTAGTCATTGTACATCTTTAACAGAAAAGAAAAATCTACCTATTTATAAAATAATTCCCCAATTTCAAAGAGTCTCTACCTTAAGCAGAGCAGCACAAAAGGGCTTCAGTAAGCTCTTTGGCAGGGTAGAAGCAGTGCAGTGGCGGAAGCTCCTTGCAATAAAAAGAGATGTCTGCTGCTTGATGGTTGGATTTTTATTATCCATCACTGCTAAGACATCCTCACTGATGTTCTGTAGTGTCGTCTTTAGAAAGAAAATGTGGTCAGTGAGCTTCTCTCAATTATAAAGAACAACCAAATTAGTACATCAATAAAAATTTAGACAATTTTACTTCAGGCAAAATACTCATGCTATCAACTTACAGTTAGGAAGATTGCATCAATTGCCTCCTGCAGAGCCTGTACCACTTGAGGCTTCTTCTCTTTGAATTTCTCCAAAATGGTTGGCACAACCTGTAAAAGTAAACAGCTAGAATATTATTCAGTAATAAAAAGGAATGAAGTGCTGATACATACTACGACATGGATGAACATTATGCTAAATAAGTCACTCACAAAAGACCATACATTGTATGAGTCTATTTACATAAAATGTCAAATCCATAGAGACAGATTAGTAAATGCCAAGGTCTAGGGGGGAGGGGTTAAGGGAGAGAGGCTGCTAACAGATGTGGAGGTGCTTTTGGGGATGATAAAAATGCTCTAAAGTTAGATAGTAGTAATGGTTGCACAACTCTGTGAACTGAAAACTACTGAATCATATATACTTCAAAAGGGTGAATTTTATAATATGTAAATTACATTTCAATAAAGCTGTTATTAAAAAATATTACCTTGGCTCTATTAAAAAAAAAAAGTAAGCAACAAAGTTTAATAAAAAGTTATTTCCCTTAAGAATAGGCAAATGCATAGAGTACTGAGAACTAAGGGAAGGGAGTAATAGGAGTTATTGCTGAAGGGGAACTGAGTTTCTGTGTAGAGTAATGAAAAGCTTTTGGAAATGGATGGTGGTAAATGGTAGCACAACATGGTGAAAGTAACTAATGTCACTGAACTGTACACTTAAAGATTAAAATGGCAAATTTTCTTACACGTATTTTACCATAATTAAAAAAAAGTCATTTCCCTCCTTGTAGGGTATAAGGATTCCCATTCTGTCCCAATGCTTTCTCAGCCTTCTTTGGCCTCTACACCTTATATGCAACCCAAGTTTTATCTCTAACATCTCTCATTAGACAAAATGATTCTTGACTACGTGAACTTAGGATAGGGAAACAAGTAGAGTATGGAATTCTTCCTCACCACTCAAGATTCTAATATACCTCACTGGGCTAGATGTCTCCAGTCCCTGCACTTCACTAAAAGTGAAAAAAATAGTAATAGAATTTATAGACATTTGTGATCAGAATTATATCTTCTTATTTAAGTTCTAAGTTTGGATCAGTAATGCTGGAAGTTTAATGTTTCTCCCAAACTACCACTCATTCATTAAATACTTACTGAATGCCTAATATATTTACTGAGTGCAAAGTACTATGCTAACAGGCAAATTAAAGATTTTTTTTTAAAGGTCCAAAAGAACCAGCAAAGCTCAACAGCCATCTAAATTTTTTTTTTCACCATTTCATAGAAGTGTACACACCATAAAGAATGCAGTATTTTCAATAGTGTAGGAGTTATAAACAGAAGTCATAAATTTGAGAATCAAAATATTTTAATGATGATGGCTAAAGTTCACTTTTATATACAATGCCAAGAAGAGAGTTTATAAATAGGCAAAGAATGTAAAATTGAACTGCTAACATGCTTGATACTAATGCTATATATTATATAGTTTTGAGGGGGGGAAATAATTTTGTAAATATGAAACACTGGAGATATTCTTTAAGCCATACAACAAAATGTCACAAAATCATAGAACTCAAACTGAAGAGCCAGGTAACCATCCAACCATGATTCTGTAAACAAAATAAATTTAAAAAATGGTTTTCTAGCTTGAAAGTTATTCCTCATACAAATGTATAAAATACACTAATAAGTGACACAAAACTGATCAAAAGCTGTTTAAAATGCTACTAGCATACGTACATTCACACACAAAGATACTATAAATATTATTAGTTATAATAAAGATATTGGTTATAATTTTGTTCCAATTTATGATTTACATGTTTAAGGGTTTTATAGATCATTATTTTTATTTCCCTGGTAATAAGCCAGTCATGCTTTATTTAGTAGTATTTTTTTTAAGGTCTCTGAATTTATTTTTAATGCTATTAAGTAAGCAAGTTGCAAATACCATAGCTCAAATAAAATGACGTGTGAAAAGGTACTATTAGGAGATATGTAAGTCAAAGGAACCAAATGCTCAAATGGATAGGAAGTTGAACCCTAAAGTTCAGTAAGGTCAATTTCAGGATGGTGAAGCATTCTAGATAATTCAGACCAGACTAAGAGGACAGTGAGAGATGCCACAATTAAAGAAAGCATCTCAAATTGTTAAAACTGTTACCAAACTTGAGTGCTACCAAACTTACACAGTCAATGAATGTCTCCAGCTGGGGAATCTTAGAATAAATTAAAATGATATTTTACCGGTGGTGTAACCTATATAAAATGTCTCAAGTATATAAGTAAATTACTTTTTTTAAATAGAAAACACTATTAATATATATTATATATACTGACTTCACTTGTAATTGTATCTTGCCTTTCTTTACTCTCATTTTCACTCTGAACTTGGTTATTTTAAGTTTTATTTCATCCTGTAATACTGTATACAACGGTGTAAGAACAAACCAAACCAATGAAATTCACTGATATTGAGTCGATTCTAACTCATATTGACCCTATAGGACAGAGTAGTACTGCTCCATAGGTTTTCCAAAGCTGTAAATTTTAATGGAAGCAAACTGCTTCATCCTTTTCCCACTGAGCGAGTGGCTGGGGAGTGTGAACCACCAGCCTTTTGGTTAGTAGCCATATGCCTTAACTACTGTGCCATCAGCAATCCATCAGAACAAAGCAGGATAAACAAATAATAAGCAAATAAATAAACTCAACTAAATACTCTAAGCCAAATCCCTGACTTTGTACATAAAGCTAATGAATTTAGCTACAACTAACATCTTTATTAAGTTTTGCTGAATATTTAGTCACAAGAGCGACTACAGCTAGGTTCCTCCCTGGTAAGATTTTATTGCGGTACACTGCTGAAGTCAGTTGGTATTAAAAACCTAAACTCTTCTTCTTCACTCTTTTTTCCCTTGTAGAAGTAATGCCTCCATTCTACTTCAAATTTTACTTCGCCCAGTCTATAAAGATCTAAGTCAAAGAGTTGTTTTAAAGCATAAAGCAAACTAGGCTGCCATTCCTGATTATTTTATTGATTTGTATCTATAAAGAAGTGTTACTTACGTGTCCTGCATATTGTCCAAATTTCTTCCTTAACCCAACAGCCAGGCCAGTAAGACATTTTGCTGCCAAAGCCACCAACATGACATTGGTGTCCTTTCCAACAACCTATAAAGTGAGGGAAAATGAAAAACAAAATGGCTGCAGCTCTGTAGAGGGGAACTTACGTTTACTCTCAAAACAACTCTAAAAACTAATGTTAATGGTTACCAATTTTTTTTTTCCTATAAAAGAAAGATTCTCATTTGATAATATCAAAGTTGGGAACTTCTGTTTCTTATGTTTAGCCTCCTATCTTAAAAGTTCCACCAATGATACACATGAAACAACTTTAAATTGCTAAGCCTCCTAGTGGTAGGCTGGGCTGTCAATGTTGCAGGAGGTGACCCTGATAATGGTAGAGAAACTGGAAACTTGCTCTGCTTTATTCTGGGAAAGAGAAAGCCAAACAACAGACTGTTTCTGAAGGACACCACAGAGAAGCAACTCTACCATTTTTACCTAAGAGCACTAGTGGAAACTGTAGCAGGTAGCTTCCTGAAGTCCTTGGGGACTCTAAATTGAAAATGCCATTGGAACTGTTCTCAGGTAGTTTCTGGCACTGCAGCTGCCATATTAGTCCCCAAGTGAAACCAAGTTGTCACTTAAAAGTCTTATAGCTGATTCTCCTCCAGCACTACTTATGCTACCTCTTCTGCTATCACGCCTCACATAGCCCAGCACTTAGGTAAACGGGTAGGAACTATGTCTGTGGCAATTTCACAAGAATGACTACAGCTAGGTTACTCCCTGATAAGATTTTTATTGCGGTACACAGCTGAAGTCAGTTGGTATTAAAAAACCTAAAACTCTTCTTCTTCATTCTTTTCCCTTACAGAAGTAATGCCTCCATTCTACTTCAAATTTTGTCTGATTTGATGTTCTATAAGCAGAACTCTTTGTTTCAGATTCCCTGCACTAAACAACCTCTAATATACTGTAGCATACCTTCTTTAAGTACTGAGGAATAAAGAAAAGAAATATTTTAAGAAACAAATTTCAAAACCAAAACCAAACTCACTCCCATCAAGTGGATTCTGACTCACAGTGACCCTGTAGGAAAGAATATAACCTGCCCATAGTGTTTCCAAGGCTGTAAACCTTTACAGAAGCAGACTACCTCATCTTTTTCTTGAAGAGCCACTGGTGGGTTCAAACCACTGACCTTTTTGTTTATCAGCACAATGCTTTCCCTGCTATGCCACCAGAGCTCTACCAGAAAATTAGGCACCACAATTTTGAAAGTGTTTTGCTTTATAATCCTTATTTCATTTAATTTTCATTCAAACCCTATGAGATAGGTACTATTATTACATCAATTATGCAGATTTCAAAAATTAAATGGGGATTAACCTGCTCAGGGTCACAAAGCTAGCAAATGGGATGCTGTGATTCAAACCCAGGTCTATTTTGATTCCAAAGCCCTTGCTCTTGGCAAATTTATTATCCTTATGACGAGATGGGAGCTCTAGTGGCATAGTGCCTAAGCCATTTGACTGCTAACCAGAAGGCTGGCTGTTCAAACCCACCAGCTACTCCTTGGAAGGAAGAGTGGGCAATCTATTTCCATAGAGACACCACCTCAGAAACCCAAGGAGAGGTTTCTATAAGTCAAATCTGACTTGATCACAGTGAGTTTGGCTTTTTTATTTGGTTTTATGACAAGATGCTTAATGAACATTTTGTTAAATTTCTAATTAATATAAGTCTGTGGAAAAAAAACTTCCCAAATCATTTCTGTATTTAACTCACTGTTAGTATTTCTAAATGTTCTGATATTTTCTTCCCAGAACAAAAACCTCTCAGGTATATTTTAAAAAGCAAACTCACTGCCATCGAGTCAGTTCCAACTTATTGCAACTCCCTTTGGGTTTCCAAAGAGGTAAATCTTTATGGAAGTAGATTGCCCAGTCTTCCTTCCACAGAATGGCTGGTGGGTTTGAACTGCCAACCTTCTCGTTAGCAATCAAATGCCTTAGGCACTACGCCGCCAGAGCTCCTTCAGGTATAATTTAGATGCTAATATTTTTATTCAGCATCTAAAAATATATGTATTTCAGGATGGTCATCAAATGTATGCCAGGCCTTATTCCAACAAATTAAAATTCTAATTTAATGAACATGGGATGAGAAAAGGTGATTTCCTTACATAGCTCCAATTAAAAAACATTATTTCATCCCATTCTTAGCTGAATACCACTCCCTAGCTAGTGGGTGGTACAGTGGCTAAAGTATTTGGCTGTCATCCAAAAGGTCAGTAGTTTGAACCCACCAGCTGCTCCAGAAAGATGGAAATGAGGCAGTCTGCTTCCATAAAGATTTACAGACAGAAACTCAATAGGGCAGGTTCTACTCTGTCATATAGAGTAACTATGAGTCTGAAATGACTCGATGGCAGTGGGTTTGGTTTTTTGGTTTAGCTAGTGGAGGTTGGAGGAGCTCTGGTAGCATAGTGGCTAAAAGCACTTGACTGCTAACCAGAAGGCTGGTGGTTCAAACCCACCAGCCACTCCTCGGAAGGAAGGTTGGGCAATCCTACTTCCGCAGTGATACTGCCTCGGAAACCCAAGGAGGGGTCGCTATGAGTCGGGGCCAACTCGACGGCACATAACAACAACAACAGCGGAGGTTGGACCCTATGATCCTCCTGTAAAGAAAGTACTGAAGAAGATCCTATGACCATATTATAATTCAAGATGGTTGAATGAACTTCTATCAAGTGAGTGATGAACCAGGCACACCAGGGATGTATCTACTTGTCAACACTCATTGTCTCACATTAGAGTCTGACTAAGCAAGTAGTTCTAAATTGGGAAATGGGAGTGAGAAAGGTGCAGAAGTATTTATTTTCACAAAAAAACAGCATATATGGGGAGCTCCACAAATAAAAATTTAGTGACTTCTGTTCTAAAGCTTTAGCTGATAATCTCAATTTAATCTAACAATGGGAAATTATCTATAGTTCTAAACTGGGGGAAGAAAGCTTTAGCTGATAATCTCAATTTAATCGAACAATGGGAAATTATCTATAATTAAAAATGCTAAAAAAAAAAAAAATGCTGTCACTCTCTTGGTAATCTAAGCCTACAGTGTTAAAATACAATCTGATTTTAAGTAATTATTAATTAGTATTTCTCTTTAATTAGTATGTAAGTCACTAGCTAATAGTAATCAAAATAAAAACACACTTGTTTTCTTTGGAAGAGGGAAAAATGAATGAAACTCATCATGAATTATTGTGTTTAGGAAACTATGATGAACACAAAGCAATAATTAAAGGGGAAAAGAGTAGAAAGACCAAATGGAAAAAAGTTAACTCCACATAGGAAATCCAGAGAGTATATAATAAAACACCTCAAAAGCCAAAATCTAAATCTAAAGAATATATGTATATGTGTGAGCTCTGGTGGTGCAGTGCCTAAGGCATTTGATGCTAATCAGAAGGCTGGTGATTCAAACTCACCAGCTCCTCGATGGAAGAAAGATAGGGCAATCTACTTCCGTAAAGATTTATGGCCTCGGAAACCCAATAGGGGCTGCTATGAAACAGAATCATCTCAATGGTATATACAGCGTGTATATATAAAACCACCACCACTTGTGTCACTTTGCTTTACTGTGGTGGCTTGCATGTTGCTGTGAGGCTGGAGGCTATGCTACCAGTATTTCAAATACCAGCAGGGTCACCTATAGTGAACAAGTTTCAGTGGAGCTTCCAGACTATGACAGATGGGAAGAAGCAAGGGGCCATGCACTTCTGAAAACATGGGCCAGTGAAAACCTTATGAATATCACTGAAACACTGCCTGATATAGTGCCGGAAGATGAGCCTCTCAGTTCGGAGGGCACTCAAAATAGCACTGTGGAAGAGGTGCCTCCTCAAAGTAGAGTCGACGTTAATGACATAGATGGAATAAAGCCTTCAGAACCTCCATTTGTTGATAGGGAATAACTCAAAATGGGAAGAAACAGCTGCAAACATCTATTAGTAATCAGAACATGGAATGTACGAACTGTGAATCTAGGAAAAGTGGAAACTGTCAAAACTGAAATGAAACACATAAAGATCAATATCCTACGCATTAGTGAGCTGAAATGGACTGGATTGTCCATTCTGAAGTAGACAATCACATGGGTTACTATACTGGTAATGACAAATTGAAGAGGAATGGCATCATTTTCATAATCAAAAAGAATGTTTCGCACAAATTGCAGAAGAGAAACCAGATGATTGGGACCTTCTAAAAATTAAATTTTTATGTGCTTCCAAAGACTTCTCCAAAAGAGTCAAAAGAGAACCTACACATTGGGAAAAAATATTTGGTAATAACATATCTGACAAGGGACTTGTCTCTTGAATTTATAGAACACTCCAACACCTCAATAACAAAAAAGACAAACAA